AGATATCTCTGATATTATGATCCTTGCCACCTGTGGGACCTTGGCCAAATAATGTCCCCTTTCTGGGCCTCAGGTTCCTTAATTGTGAATTAGAAAGTTGGACTAGAATGCCTACCAAGTCCCTCGGTCCCTGCCAACTCTAAATGTTACCATCATGTACATTGGGTTCAACTGTTGTTATGATAGTGGGTGATGCTGAAGAGAGGTCAGTGTGTCTGCTCCCTGTGACCCTGGGGGCTGGTCTTTCTGGAACCCAGAGCTGAATTTGTCCAGAGTCAGCAGTTAGAACAAAGAACAGTAGGGACCTTGAGCCTAAAAATCAACATCCATCAGCATTTATGTAAAAAGGAGTGATGCAAAGAAGAGATTAGGATAGGGAGAGGCTGGCATATAGAAGCTCAGGAAAGATATGGTTGTAATTCAGCTGTGAAGTATGGAAATAGGAAAGGGGAGTTATGAGAGCCTTTTCAGAGGAAGAATTGGCAGGACCCAAGAAAAGAGGGTGAAGGATAAGGATAAAGCAAAGATTTCTATCTAATTTGGGGGTGGGGAAGAGGAGATGATAACTTCTGTTTTAAACATTGTGCATTGAAGGTGCCTGTGGGACAATGGGGTGCAACTGTACAGCAGGTAGCTGGAATTGTACAACTGGAACTTGAGAGAAGTTAGGGCTGGAGATGTCAGGGAAATCATCCATATGGAAAAGAGGAAGGAAGGTGGTATAGAGGTGAAGTCATAAGAATTCATGAGCTCTCAGAGCATAGAAAGGAAACAGGGCCACGGACTGTGGGAGAGCCAAAGTTGGGGGCAAGAGGAGGAAACAATTCACTTCAGGCCAGTGAAGGAGTGGCTAGAGAAACGCAGGAAGAAAACCAGGATAAAACCATATTACACAAGCCAAGAAAAAGGAAAATTGCAAGGGGGAGCATCAGCCATGTCTTGCTGCTGCCAAGAGGTCAGAAAGATTCATGTAGAATGAGGTTGTTAGCCATCTTGGAGAGTGGTCTCAGCTGAGATGGGAAGAGGTAAAGGGGAGATAGCTCAAGGAATTCACAACACCATGAGGCAGCTCCCAAGGCTGATGCAATCTTGGACTCAAGGAGAGCGTCCGGGCTTCCAGGAATAGGAAGATGATAGTCCCACCTTACTCCACACTGGCCAGAACACATTGGCAGTACTGTGTTCAAGTCCTGGTGCCACGTTGCCAATGTTGATGAGAGCAGTGAAGGGCAAACAGCATGGCGAATAGCCTTGAAATCATGCCGTGTGAGTATTGGTTAAAGGAAATGGGCCTGGTTAGCCTGAAGAAAAGAAGAATCCAGGGAGCTGTTTGCAAGTGTTTGAAAAGCTGTCTTGTGGAGGATGGCTTGGATTTATTCTGTTTAGCTGCAGAGAAAATAACTAGGAACAATGGGTGGATGTTTGCAAAGAAACAAATTTAGGTTTAGTTTCAGGACAAGCTTCTTGAGAGTTAAAGCTGCTCCAAATGGAATCAACTGCCTTGCAAAGTCGAGGGCTCCCTGTATTTGTAGATCTTCAAGCAAAGGCTGAATGGGCACTTACTGGGTGGGTTATAAATAATGGGGCTTCTATTTGGGTGTGAGTTGGGCCACAGAGTTAATGAGGTCCCTTCCTCCAGTGAGGAAACTAGGGCTGGAGAGATGAGCTCATCTGTGATCACACAGGTAGTAAGGAGCAGAGCCAGAATTTTTGAACTCATGTCTTGAATGCAATGATCATTCATATTACTCATTCCCACAAATGCACTTTCACACATATTACCCACTCCCATCCATACACACAAGACACACACACACACACACACACACACACACACACACACACACACACACACTCCCACGTGCATGGTTGTCCTGAGACAGTCACACATTCACAGTTAGATAGTAAAATGGATAGAGTCCTAGGCCTGAAGCCAGGCAAGACCTGAGTTCAAATCTGTCCTTACTAGCTGTGTGACCCTGGGCAAGTTACTTAACCTCTGCCTCAGTTTCTTCAACTGTGAAATGGAAGAAATAATAGGATCTACTTTCAAGGGTGGTTGGGAGGATCAAGTGAAATAATATTTGTAAAGCATTTAGCATAGGATCTGGCACACTATAGGCACTTAATAAATGCCTATTTCCTTCCTTCCCTCACATATGGACTCAAGGTAGACTGTCTAACCATGTGACCTTGGGGAAAGTCACTTTCCTTCTCTGGGATCTTATTTTCCTCATCTGTAAAGTGAGAAGGTTGGACTAGCTGTTCTCTAACGTGTTTAGTAGTTTGTTTCTCTCTTTTTCTTTCTGTAAATGTTATTTTATTAGCTGTCTACGTTCTCAGGAGACAGTAGATCAATAAGATGTGGGGAAGGTAGAACAACGAAATTTATCTTATGACTTAGAAAATAGGTGAGCGATTTTCCTGAATTTCTTTTCTTTGTGAATTATTCAGAAAAGAAGCTCCTTTCTCATAATGTCAGCCATGTTACAGAGCAAGACAAAAGCTTCCCTGAATTTGTTGGGGCTGCGTGGTCTGGACACAGAAGGAGGTGGGGGATTGGAGATCAGTGTCAGGAAGATCTTTCTAAGCCTTAAAGCTGTGCCTAAGTGGAATGGGTTGCATCTTCATTGGAAGTCTTCAAGCAGACGCTGGAGGACCACTTGGTGGTTGTGGAGTCATGGTGGGGGTTTCTCATTATGGAACACTTTGGTCTCGATGGGCTTTGAGATCCCTCTCAGAGATTCTTGTGTGATTTTCTGAGTATATGCACACATTCGCACTAAGACTCATACTCCCATCGGTTCACCCAGGCACTCTCATTTAAAAAACCCGCTCTCCCAAGTAGCTATGAGGTCAGCTATGTCTCCACACAAGTGTGTGCTACAGAAGCACATGTATACACACACACACACACACACACACACACCCTATATATAGACACATACACACATACCCAACACACACACCTCATATATAGACACACTCACACAGTATACGTACCATTGTCACTGTAATTATTTGACCTTCAGAAAAGCATATGTGCTATCCCAGACGTCAGAATCAGTCTACAGCAGCAGCTTCAGAAGCCTGTGCTGTTGCCCAGGCAGGAGTGGACTCAGGGCAGGGGGATAGCAGGTGCCTGGGCTTTGGCCTTGTTTCTGCTGAAGCTGACACGATTCTCCCCAAGACAGCATTGGTGTGGAAGGGCTGGCCTGCAGCACTAGGCACTGAGCTGTCGCCATGAGTTGGACACTCTGGGGCCTGAGTTTCTAAGTCCTGCTGCCTGCTGTGAAGAGCCATGCTGGCTGTGCGCCCAGCAGGCTCTCTCGGCATAATTTATAAGCAGTGGCTGGGAGCCAGTATCTACCAGTGGCACAGTTTCTCTCTTGTGGCTTTTTACCTTTACAAACCTGTGCTCAGGGCTGTTTTGCCATTGGACAGGGGCAGAAAGTAGCTCTGGGGAGGCCCTGGCTTGGGAAGAAGTTCAGGAAGCATGTGCAATCTGTTACCTGAGCTGCCCCCCCCACTTCCCCTCTACCCTGACTTTTTTGAATGCCCTAGCCGAGATGTAGGCAAGGCAGAAACTGAAGCAGGTTGGCCTGAGGGGAGAGAGGAAGAAGGAGGGAAAGCCCGAGTGGTTATGAAAATAGCCTGATACAGTGGAATGAACATTGGCTCTAGAGTTAGAGGTCCTGCATCCAAATTTTACCTCTGATGCCTACTTTTTCTGTGATCTTGAACAAGGTATTTAATCAGTCAACAAACAATTACTTTCTCAAGTACCTGCTATGTGCCAGGGTGCTGGGAAAACAAATGCAAAGAATAAGACCATCCATCTCAAGGAGCTTACAGTCTACCAGAAGAGACACCATGTGCATTTATAGGTACATGATTAATTAATAAAAAGAAATTCCATGCTCACTTTCATCTCTCAGAAGATCAGACCAGCTAGCATCAGAAAACTTGGGTTCAAATCCCACCAGTGATTCCTACTTACCTGGGTTATCTTAGGTAAGAGATATCCCCTATGAAGATGTTTCCTCAGTTTCCTCATTGGGACTTTGATGGATCTGAGGGAACTATAGATACATTTCAGGACATCCATAAATTTGAATTGGAAACAATTTTGTCTTCTTCTCAACAACCTTTAATTGATATTTCAATTATTTAAAAATATTATCCTAAAAAGGGGTCTATAGTCTCTACCAGACTGCCAGGGTTGAGGTCCATAAGACACAAAAAGGTTAGCAATCCCTGGCTTATGTGGCCTCTGTGGGCCCTTCCATATCCACTAGGGCCCTAGGATCCTCCTCTTGCTCAAGGCTCAGCCTGAGTGTTCCCTCCTCCAATGATCTTCCCTTGGTCCTTGCTATTAAAAATAATCTTTTTTCCCCCCAGCATTGCTGAACTCTGTTTTCCTCCTTTCCCACACCCCTTACAAGTCCCTCAACACCCTACCCCGTATTTATTTATCAGTATACGTTTTGTTCCTCCAATAGAATGTTTTGAGGGCAAGGACTTTCATTTCTGTGTCTCCAGCTCACACAGGACCTTATACATAGTAGGTCCTTAATAAATAAATTGCCTTTATTGAATATGTGGCACTTCCTCTTATCCCATCTTGGCAGTATCTCATCTCCTGTTTATATTATGCCAACTTGAGTGGGATTGGCATAGGTGATGCTGACCTCAAGCAGGCCAAGATTGGGTGGTATCCAATGTAGGGGTGTGTTCCCTAGATGGAACTCAGCACTTCTTACTGAACTCAGTGTGGCTAGGGATGGAATTCTGCTAGAGATATAGGTGGGGGCTTGTGAAAGCCAAGCTAGAGAGAGAGCTTGGTCAACACAGGACAATAAGCCCTTAATGCTTGAGAAGGCAGGTGCCCTGGGGCCTGACCACCCACTTAGGGCTGATGGGCCCACCCTGGGGGGCTGGACCCACCCTGGGGGTGCTGGGCCCTCAGAGGGCAAGCTTGATTGTGTCTTCCCCTCCAGCTCGCAAGCAAGAAATCATCAAGATCACAGAGCAGCTGATAGAGGCCGTCAATAACGGGGACTTTGAGGCTTATGCGTGAGTACCACCATGGCATTTCAGACCAACCTGGGGTCAGAAGGAGAGAAAAGTATAGTTAGTAAACTCAAAGGTGGGGTGATCAGCAATGAGAGTGTATTGGGGCATGGTGTTCCAGGGGCGTCAGGGTTCTCAGCAGCTGCTTCCTAGGCACATTGGCACACAGAATGTTGAGGAAGGAAGCGGCTGTGCAGGGATGGAAGCAAGTATCGAGGGCCTGTAGGAGTTGCCCTATGCACTTTTCCCAGTGGTATATAGGTAGCAATGCCCCTAGGTAGGTCCAGGGTCTAGGTATGAGGAGAGAAGGACTAACACATTGGGCCCCCTTGACGCGTCTGTCTCATTTGATATCTGTTCTGCAGGAAAATTTGTGACCCAGGCCTGACCTCATTTGAACCTGAAGCTCTTGGCAACCTTGTAGAAGGGATGGACTTCCACAGATTCTACTTTGAGAATTGTAAGTAAGCTTGGTCAGAGACTGAAGGAGTAAACTAGCCATGTAGCCTTTTTTTTCCCTGTAGGAGACGCCCTTGGGGAAGGTGCCTGGAAGAACAAAGCTGCCTGGGGGTGAAAGGTTTTAGTGCCATGGGGTGGGATGGACAAGTGAGGGGAATATAATGGTGGCCCTGATGAATAGAGGGGAGCACATCTCTGGGCCAAAGCTGAGCTGGGGCTGCCCTCCCATAGTCCCTTCTTTCTGGTACCCACTTCCCCCTCTGTCCACACACTGTACCCCAGTATCTTTCCTCCCAGGTTGGAGGGAAGGGTGGGAAGCTTCAGGAGGGGCCCCTCATGTGCTGCAAGTTCTCCCACCTTTTCTTCCCCCTCTTCAGTGCTAGCCAAGAACAGCAAACCCATCCACACCACCATCCTGAACCCCCATGTGCACGTTATCGGTGAGGATGCCGCATGCATCGCCTACATCCGTCTCACGCAGTACATCGACGGGCAGGGCCGACCCCGCACCAGCCAGTCAGAGGAGACCCGCGTCTGGCACCGCCGTGATGGCAAGTGGCAGAATGTCCACTTCCACTGTTCAGGTGCGCCTGTGGCCCCGCTGCAGTGAAGGTGAGCACTCCCGTCCCACTCCCCAGTCATATGACCCAGATTCCCAAGGATGAGGTCTTGATCACAGAGACCCTCAGAGCCTAGAATGAGGTGCCTGGGGTGGAGTGAGAAGTGCCTAAATGTTTGTTTCTCTGTCACACCATAGACTGGCCTGCTATCCCCTAGAATCCTGGTCATTTGGAGATCATCAGTCTAGGTCTGGAATCCAGTCCAAATCCCTCATTTTAAAAATAAGGAAACTGAGGTTAAGTGATTTGCAGAAGGTACTGTTAGAAGTGGGATTTAGGTCGTGGTCCTCTGATTCCAGAGTGAGGTCTACTTATGGTATATTATCCTGCCTCCAGACAGGAAGCCTCCAGCGGTCCAGGCCAGCAGTAAGTCCCCTCTCCCCCCCAAAATGACCATCTGTTGACCTATCCTTGTACATGTATGTGCAGAGAACAGCAAAGAGGTTGTTCTGAGCAGAGAGGAGAGCGTGTGTTAGAATGCAATATTGTTCTTTGTTGTTGAGTCATTTTCCGTCATGTCTGACTCTTCGTGACCCCTTTTGGGTTTTCCTTGACAAAGATACTGGAGTGGTTTGCCATTCTTCTTCAGCTCATTATGCAGATGAGGAAACTGAGGCAAACAGGGTTAAGTGACTTGCCCAGGGTCACACAGCTGGTAAGTGTCTGAGGCCATATTTGAACTCAGGTCTTCCTGACTCCAGGCCAGACACTCTAACCACTGTACCACCCAGCTGCCCAGAATGCAACATAGCAAACTTTTATTAAGGACCTGCACAGGACAGAGCTAAGTGTGGGGGAGAAGATAGGTTTTGATAAGACATGGTCCTTGTCCTCCATTAGTCTGATACACACTATCCTAATGAGCTCTAATATACATTACCTATCAGGTAATTTTCTTCAAAACAAAGTACAATATAGAAGATCTGAAAAATGAGGTCATTACTCACTGCGGGGCGGGGGACCACACAGGGAAAGCTTCAAAGAGGAGGTGACCTGTGTGATAAGCTTTAAAGGATAGGTAGCAATTCAACAGGTGCTGAAGGGGGTTAAAGGCATCCTGGGCATAGAGAAGAGCACCAGCAAAGGCTCATGCCTTTGTCAGAACAGGTGGTATCTATTCAGGAGACAAGACAATCCAGTTTGGCTGGAGCACAGAGTCCATAGACAGGAGGAAAAGGAGAGGTCGGCCCAGATTCAAGGAGGTAGCAGATTTTGGACTTGATGCAGTAGGAAACAGAAAGCTGAAGCTGTTACAGGTTCCTGTGCAGGAAAGTAACATAAATTCAATTCAACAGACATTTATTAAGCACTTACTCTGTGCAATTCAGCAAAGATTTATTAAGCACCATACAGGAAATGCAAATGTAGCTCTAACATGGGCTCTGGAGTTTACAATCCATCAATCAATCAACAAGCATTTATTAAGCACCTACTATGTACCAGGCATTGTGCTAGGTGCTGGTGATACAGAGACAAAAGTGAAACAGGCCTTGTCCTCTAGGAACTTATAGTTTAGCCATGGGAAACACCACCACCTTATTTTGTATATATGTATACAAAATAAACAATGAGGCAATCTGGGGAAGAAGGCCCTTGCAGCTGTGGGAATCAGGAAGGGCTTCTTGTAGAAGGTGGCTTTTGACCTGAGCCTTGAAGGAAAGGAAGGATTCTTGGAAGTGGAGCAAGAAGGGAGAGCATTCCAGGCATGGGGGATAGCCACTGCAAAGTCACCAAAGTGAGAGACGGAGTGTTGTGTCCGAGGCACAGGAAGGAGGTCAGCTTGGCTGAACCATAGCGTTTGCGGAGAGGAATAAGTGTTGCGAATGAAATTCAACAAAGGTAGACTGAGGCACATTCTCTCCATGCAAGACAGCATTTTATTAACAGGGGCACTGCCTGCCATTAAAATGTGTCAATGGCTCTGCCTCAGTTAGCCAAAAGACCCCGAACAGAAGGACAGCTCCCCTTTTTTAGTTTTTGGGGAGTACTGAACAAAGAATAGGACTTTGTAGGCAGAGAAAGAATACAATTGGTTATGGGGTTGGTGACATCATGGAATTGAGGGCAACGTGATTGGTTACTAAGGAAAGTGGCCATACTCACACGTGAGATTAGGACTCTCTCTTAGAGGAATGCTTTGTGGATTTGTGGGACCCAGCTGCAGCCTGAGGCTATTGATAGTGGACCAGGGATGCAGACTCACTGGTGCCTGGGAATGAGATAAGACCACTTTTAATTGGGCAAGGATGAGGCTAAGATGGGGCAAGGTCAGCTTGTCTGCACCCGAGGATAGTTTCTTAGGCGCTGAAGTTATGAGAGACAACAACAACCCTCCTTGGCACAAAGTGATTTACAGGTAGTGCTAGGAAAACAGTTCTCTTAGAATTAGAGTGTTTTGTGAGAGCATTGATTGAACTTCTAAACTTTAGCCCAACAGTTTTTCTTTAATTAAAAGTAATCCATAGGAAAACTGAATGATGGCATCTAACTTGTGGTAGAAAGACTGAACTTCTGAACCCATGAGCTTCTCCACTCAGAGACAAAGACGAGGCTTCAGTTTGCCACACAGAATACAAAATATGGTTACAGAATAGAATCAATTACTGAATGAAATAAAGTATATAACATTATACATACAGTATTTATAAAAAATGAATACAAGATCAATAATTAATTTTCATATCAGGCGAGAAAGACATATACAAATAATTGTATTGTAAGAGAAAGTGAGAAAAGTGCAAAGCAGGGTTCTGGGCAGAGTTCTTGCAGAAAGCAAGAGCTCTTCCAGTTTGACTGGAAAGCGGAGCAGGGTAGTAGAGCAGCATAAAGTATGTTGGAGGCAGGTTTTGGGGAGCCCTGAATGCCAAGATCAGTAGGGAGTCAGAAGCCACTGCATCCCTTTGAGTTGGAGAGTGGATCCAAGGGGTACATTAGGTAAAGGATTCAAGCAACAGGGTGAAGGATGGTTTAGGAAGGGAACTGAGGAGAAGCAGGGTATTGGGTTTGGAGCCTGCTACAGAGGAGGGAAGATGGCCTCAACAAAGGGTGTGACATTGGAGTCAAGAGGAAGAAGGGGGAACAATATGAAAGTGGTGTTTTAGGAAGATTAATTTGGCAGTTCTTCAACTTGGCAGAAAGTAGGGAGAAGGTGCTGGGCAGGTGCTGAGGTGCAAAGACTGACCTGAACAGCCTCTCCTACCTAGGAACTTTCATTCTACCGGAGGGTACAACATGAATGCTGCAAATGCACAGAGTACGTGCATAATAAATAAAAAAATTCATTTCAAGGAGGCTAACAACTAGGGCAACAAGAAAGGAAAGGCCTTGTGTGGGGGATCATGGCTGAACTGAGCCGTGAAGATAGCCAGGGATTCAAAGAAGTGGAGAGGAGAAAGAATGGCATTCCAGACATGGGGGACCATCCAAGTGAAGGCCTGGCCCAGAGTGGGGATGAACAGTAGCCACCACCACCACAACTCGCCTTTTTGTGGTGCCTCAAGGCTGGCAGAGCAGCTTTGCATATGTTACCTCACTTGGCCCACACACAGCAACCCTGGGAGTCAGGTCGCGTTGTCATCTTTCTTTTACAGGTGCAAAAAATGAGTTTCAGAGAGGCTTAGCGTCTTGCCCAGGGTCACACAGTGAATGGAATGGGATAGGATGAGGCAGGATCCAGACTCCGGCCATCCTGACTCCAAGTCTATCATTGCACCACCTCTAAGATGAAATATGATACCTAGGGAATAGCTCATTGACCAGTTTAACTGGAAAAGAAAGTAAGGTGAAGTAGGACTAGAAAGGTGTGTAGGTACCACATTGTATAGGGCTTTCAACACCAACTTGAGGATTTTATATTGATTTGAGAGGCAACAGGGAGCTACCAAAGACTTTTCAGTAGAAAAGTGACATGGTCAAACCTGGGTTTTAGTTGTTTCTTTTTGGCAAGTGTAGAGCATTGACTGTGAAGGAAGAGAGCAACAAGGAGGTTATTACAGTAGTCCAGGCAAGAGATGAGAAGGACCTGACAGAGAATCCTAGCTGTGTGATAGAGAGAAGGGGAAGGATGGAAGCAAAGCTTGGGGGCAAAGGCCATTTTATTTTTTTTGTGTGTCTATAGCTCCATCACCTAGCACAGTGCCTAGCACATAGTTAAGACCTTAAGATATTTGTTTAGTTTGTTTCATTAAATCGATCAGAGGTGCAAGAGATTTTGTGGAGGTAGAATTCACAAAATTTGGCTATTCTTTGGACACAAAGTGTGGAAATTTCCTAAAACTCTGACCAGGGTCCTGTTCTCTCTTTAGGTACTCTTGGGAGCTCCCTCATTGATTCAGTTATTGTTTCTATGTAAATGACTCAAAAAAATCTATGTGTCTAGCTCCGATCTCCTTCTTTGTGGACAGGAAAACAATGAACAATCTAGCAAAGGAAACTGAGAAATGGTCAAATAGGTAGGAGAAGAAGCAAGTGAGAGCAGTGTCATGGAAGCCGGGGAGGGGGAGGTTTCTAGCAGTAAGGGGATGACTGAAAATGTCAAAAGACAAAGTGGAGGCAGAAAATATAAATAGCTCCCAGTAAATAAATAATAAATATGTGTGTGTGTGTGTGTGTGTGTGTATACACATACACACATATATATACACACTTATGTGTATATATGTATATACACTTATAGTATATATATAGCAGTATATATAATATATATGCCTAATTATAATACCTAATTATATACCCTCCCTAATAAATATCTGGGAGTTTGGCTGTAAAAGAGAGGAGTTATAGGATGATAGCTTGAGGGAATGGCAGGATTAAATGAAGGTTTCTTAAGGATCAGGAAGACCTGTGTATATTTACAAGTGGTGGTAAAGGAACCAATGGATAAGGAGAGATTGAAAGTGAGAGAAAGAGGAAAAGATTGATGGGGTAACCTGACAGGGGAGACAGGAGGAAATGGCATCAAGCTTTGGGAGAACAGTCCCAAAATCAGACAGTCTTAGGTTAGAAAGGACCACCCCAATATTAGAGATGGTTATCTAATTCCTTTTTCCCTTCCCAAATGCCCCACGCTTCTACTCTGCCTGAGGCCCTCCTACTTCATCTTCCCCTGATTAAAACACCACCATGCAGTACAGTGACAGGGCCCACCTTGTGTTTCAGAACCAGTACATCCTTTTGTGGTTTCATCCTGACGGAGACGGTGATTGGAGCGGAGCCGCCACTCGCCAGGTGGTAGCGCCCACCGCGTCAGCATGCTCGTGTCTGCCTCGTCCCTCCCTCCCCTGGTGCCTGTGTCTGCAGAAAACAAGACCAGATGTGATTTCTTTTTAAAAAACAAACAAACACACAAACAAACGAACAACCGGCAACTACAGCAACAACAAAAAGCAACCAACGAAATGAGGAAAAAAAAATACCACGATACAAAAAACAAAACCAGGAAAAAAAAAGCTGTAAAAATCACTGGTGTTTGTGGGGCTTCAGAACCAACCAGCTGCTCCTCCCGTCCACAGCTCCACGTGTGTGTCTGTCCGTCTGTTCCTCGGCTGTCTTGGGTGACCAGGTGTTGCAATGAAAATGTCCACAAGGCTCCACTCCCTCTGTTGACCTGTTGACCCCCGTGTTGAACGGTGTTAGTTTGTTAGATGAAAAAAAACAAAAACAAAAAACAAAAAAACAAAAAAACAAAACCCACAAAAAAAAAACCCTAAGGTATTTTGCATTCTCTCTGCCAACGCATGGGCCTTTGCCAGTGGTATACTTGCACGTGGCCGTCGTGAGCTGTTACCGTTTGTCTTTTCAGGGACGTGGGGCTGCTGGCTCCAGGTTTTCCTTTGCCTTTTTCCTCTAGTTGTGCCTGTGGGTTGCTATCACTTCTTCCTTCCTTCCACCCAACATTCTTTCTTTGGTTGAGGAGGGAAGAGGCGTCCCTGGGCTCTGTCCCTTCTGTGCCAGGCAGACTGCTGGTCAGCAGCATGTCCAGTGTTGTTGGAAAATGACTCTGGGCTCCCAGACTCTGGATGGGCTGAGATCCCGGCACTCACACTATGGGACATCCTCTACTCTTGTCATCCCCCTCAACTAAAGAGCCTGTTGTCAAGAACCTCCTTGTGCCATTTTGGCCTCGTCTCTTACTCTGAAGCCTTGAAGGCTGGTGATGGCATGAAGGGCGAGCAGCTCTGGGTGAGGATTGTGAAGAGTGCTGAGGGGCATAGCTGGGAGAGGAGAAAGAGATGGGGAACAGGGACATGCTGGGTCCATACGAGACCCAGATTTTATATGCGTCTGCAGGCTCAGGAGTGGAGGGAGCCTGGGCCAACCAGCTCCCAAGTGCCCAAGAGAGTATGCTAAGCCTCACAGAAAGGGGAACCCTTACTTCTGGAGACAAAGCATCATCTACCAACTCTCCTTTCCTTAGCCCTAACAGCTTCACATATGGGAAGCACAGCCAGAGTAATTAGCAGACCCTGGGCTGTGCTCCCAGGGCCTCTGTTTGACCAGGATCTTGACCCCCCCCCCCAACTGACAGAGATAACTCAGGAGCCAAGACTCCCAAATAACCAGCTATAGAAAATAAGGGCTTTGGGCCCTTAGGAAATAATCTTTCTTCTTGCCTGAAAGCAGCTTCTGCTTCTTCCCTCTGTCTGGTTGGTCTCTGCACAGTAGACAGTGAATGTATTGACAGCTTTGTGGTGGCTCCTCTGAATTTTGACCCAGAGAAATCTGTTTCCTAGGGCCTAGTATCTTCTTTGGTTCTCTGTGGCCCTCTTATGGGGGCATTCCAATCTCTCCTCTTATCAGGATAAGAATTGACAGCTCAGAAAGGTTACATACAGACTCAAGCCTTTCTTCCTGGTACTCCAGCCCCTGAAATGGGGATAAAGAGGTTGTTATTCCCCTTTATGTTATCCCTTTCCCAACCTAGGTGAATCAGCTAGGTCTTGTGGAGGACTACCCAGGGCTATTGTGTGCTCTCCTATGGAGAGGCCTCTAGCATTGTGGGATGGAGGAAATCTGTGGGTAGGCAAGGACAGTCTCCACCACTCCCCCTTCATTGAAGGTGAGAGAGAAGGAGGAAATCCTGTAAATTGGAAGTGGTATACATTAGGAAAGAACAGTCGATCCTCTTATTTTCCTGGGGCTGAAAAAACGCTAGACCGTAAGAGTCACATTAAGCCCTGTCACTGATTTCCCAGGCCTGTGGTTGTGGTTTACAGAGTGTCCATCTTTGGATGGAAAGACAGGGCTTATAGACTGGCTGGCTGCAACCTCAGGGAGTCCCAGGAATAGGATGAATAGTGTCTAGTTGGGATTTCTTGGGAGTTAGAGCTGAAGGATGGTTGGGAGGGAAATGCTCCCTCCAGAGATACGACCATCTGCATCCAATCCCTGAGAGGGCCTCACTTGCCCAGTGGGGCTGGTAGGCTATAGTGAGCCATGGCTCTTAAGTAGGAAGAGGAGGAGTCATGCTGGTCACATGGTGGGTGTTCAACAAATGTTTAAGGATGGCTGCTGCTGCCGCATTAATCAGTATCAACAGCCATCTGATTCATTTATTGATGACCTACTATGTTCAAGGACAATGTTGATGGATTGATTGGGAAAGGACAAGGGCTAGATGAATAGTGTCAGAAAGCAGAAAAAAAAAAAAAAAACAATGAGGATGAATGGCTTTCTTCTGGGAACTTCAAGTGCCTAACTGGGATTGGAAGATTAAAGGAAAGATGCTGTTCTGGGCCCTATTTTCATTTCCCCTGGGATTGAGAGAATATCGTAAGGAATTTCCACTATGGAATTCAGGGACTTGGGGCAGGCATGGCACTAGGGCTACTTGGCAAGGTCAGAGAAGAAAGAGGAGAGAGATGTACATCAGTCTGTAAGACCTGGGCCCAGTGGTGAAAACATCTGGAGTTGATGAGAGGCCAAGGGTCAGAAACTGACCCCCAGACAAAATATGGGAAAGATATGTTGATGACTGGACCTATGCTCTTAGTCTGAAATTCAGAAGTGAGCGTTGTGATTCTTATGTTGAAGGTAAGCAGCGCTAGAGGTGGGGATGGACTTCATGGCATTCTTTAGTCTACTTCTTGCCCTAGCCTCAAAACCTCAGGGCCTGATCACTTCCGCCTCCAATGTAGCTCTCCCCATCCCCTGGCTTCTATGCTTTGAAACAGCATACCTTCATTGGCCTTCATTGATGATTAGATGCAGAATTGAGGTGAGAAGAATTCATGGGCTCCTGCCCCAACCTGGCATATTGTCCTGACACTGGTCCCTTCAATCCAATCTAACAAGTATTTATTAGGTGCCCGAATGTGCAGGAGGCATTGTGCTAGGCACCAAGGTTACGGAGATAAAACAGAAACACATCCCTGCCCTCGAGGAACATGTGGAAAAGGGCATTTCAGCCAAGCATTGCAGGTTATCTTATCACTTTAGCCAGGCAGTCCCAAGAAGGAGAGATGGGAGAGAAGAGAAAATGAAGCTGGAAGGAAAGGAGTGCGAGTGGCCGCCAGGGATGGCCTGGACACAGGGTGCTGTTACATGCCAGACCGAGAGTACAGCAGATGGTCTGAGGAAAGGGAGGCAGTGTAGGTCAGTCTGGGGACCTTGAGGAAGAGACTATGGGCTGAAGTGGCTGCCCCCTCCCCCATGGGTAGGAAAAATTCAGCTGGGGCAATGCTCTAATGTCTCTCTTTGTCTTAGTTTTGCAAGTGTGGACAGTCCTTCCCCAAGGAGTGTGTGTTGAGGATATATCCAAACCTCAGGTAGGTGAGGCAAAGACAGCATAGTGGTAGGCCAGCATGCAGAAGTTCAAGGCCTCTGCTTAGCTTCACTGACGCAGTCACACTTTGATTCAAGGTTTGGGGGGTGGGGGTGGGGGTGGGAATGGGGGGTGGGATGGCAGACATTGGAGAAAATTGACTCTCTTTGGCTAAAAATGTGTGAGTTCTCAGGGATGAGTGCCCTAGACTTGGGGTAGCTGATGGGCTGATTGATCTCTTGCTGATGAATTCTGGTCCCATCTTTTCCCCATCCCATTTGGGTGTAGCAGTTACTTAATTGATCCAATGAAAGCTAGTCTATTTGATGACTACTTTTGCCTAGGCCAGAGACTTTTTTGGGGGGAGTCGGGTTAGTTCTGCAGGAGAGTTTTCCTCCTTGCCATGCAAAGTGCCATCCTTAACTCAGTGGAAGTATTTTGCTGTGGCCATCTGCACTGGGGAAGAAAACAACCCAGAAAATGCATAGCTGTTTGAGGAAAGGTTTGTGGGCAGTGATGAAATATGGGCCAGGAGTTAATGTGAAAGAACATCTCAGGTGTGACATGTTGAAGGCCATCAGGTGGTATAGTTTATTTAACTACTGTATTCCTTCCCTGGCTATAGACCAGGAGCTAGGAGCACTAAGAGGTGAGAAACATGGTGTAAGGAAGCAGCCATTGATCTCATGCCATCTGCCATTCTCAGAGAAACCCTGGAGGAATCCAACCTGCCTGGCTTATCTCTGATTCCTACAACTAAAGTTCAGAGTTACTCTACAGTGAACCTAAGGGCCTGGAAGGGTCTGGGATTCTTATGTCCACCCCAGAATGCACCCTGACCATCAAGGCTAGGCCAAGACCAAAGTCCTTTGAACCAAGTTTACCAAGTGATCCTGGGCTATCCTGGGCTGACTGGAGTGACCACTTTCAGGTCCTGGAAGCCACATGGCCTTTTAGAGTTTGAAAGGGGGGGGAGGGTGTTTACTTCACCATTTTTTTCATCATCCTTTAAAGACCTAGAAGTTACAACCAGCCTGACATCCTTTGACCAAGATGGTTCCCCATGTCTTAGAACAAATGACAGGTCTAAGGCAATAGACTGGAAACTTGGGTTGGGGTGAAGGAAACATCTCTAACACTCATATCAGTCATCTTCCTACTGTAAACAAAACGAAACAAATATATAGGATACATCTCCCAAGTTAAAGGCTCTGCTCCTAGGGGACCATAGGCACCTCTCAGGTAGAGCAAGGTGTTCACAGAAACTCAATAAACCTTTAAGTCAGTTCCGGGCACAGATATTAATCACCCTAACATCAACCCACGTGCATACAAACGTACATACATACATATACACAGAAATGCTTTTGTTCATAAACATGTCCGTACTCCTACATGGACTTGAGCAGTGATTTCAAAATGTACTTTTCAGACACCCCAAAATGTTTCTAATTAAAAACATACATCCTGGGGAGTTTTAAATTG